CCTGCTCTGGCAGCCATGGGAAGGGTGAGAAGAGGGGGTCCAAATGGACATAGTCCTGCTCATCTCCAGGGTCTTGACCTCTGCACGGGGCTGATGGAGGAGGGTGGTGGCTGGATGCTGCCAGACTAGAGCAGGCCAAATATGAAGAACAACACGGCATGGTCCAGAACTCGCTGGGCGGCCCGAGCTGGAGGCTTGTTTTGTTTTACTGTTTTGTTGTCTCTCTCTCCCCCTCTGGGTTTTGTGGCTCTGAGCTGCAGGGCTGGAAAATTATTCATCCAAACCACAGCTCCCACGACACCCTCTGTAAGCATCTGTGGCTCCAGACTCTGCTGCAGCAGTGGGTGGGAGGTCGTAAATTCGTCATCATCACCAAAGCGCCCTCCTGTTAGACAGGACGTGAAATGTGGAGCAGCAGGCTGTGTCACAGACGCAGCCATACCGAACATACTGGGTGAAACCTGTCGGCCAGTTTGCATGACAAATCCCTGTTCTGTGCCTGTCCTATTGATGCGAAGGTCCCTTCATACCTGCCAGAGTAGCTGTGCTTTAGCGGCAGATGTCTGCAGGTTCACCTTGGCTGCTGGCTCTGCTGGAAACACTGTTGTGTTGCGCTAGCCAGATGTGAGGGTTGTGGGATCACTTGCTCCTGGAATTCTGGAAGATCCACAGACAGCAACATGCCTCCCCCACCATGGCTTTCACTTGCTTCCTTACGACTCAGAGCCAGCACCCCTTGCAACTCTGTGCCACAGGCCCTGGGTCCATGCATCAGACCTGCCTGGCTGTGTGTAGCTGTGCCCCATGCTGGGACTGCCATCTCTGTGCATGGACACACAGGAGACTCATGAGCACTTTCCCAAGGGGTTGTAGAAAGATCCTGGTGTAGCAGCCCATCTGGCAAGGCAGAGAGACAGTGATGTGCTGAACTGAGCCCCGCTGGGATGAGAGGTGTTGTGGGGCAGGTGCCAGCAGAACTCACCTGCCATCTTGCTTGGTCACTGCTGTCAGCTAAGGGTGAACTGGGGGGTGGCCAAGTTGTCTCATGTGGATATCGTCCTGCTCTTCTCCATGAAAAGCAAGAGCCCACAAACAGTCCTGGGGAATGCTGTCCCCTTCTGAGGCATCTCTCCTGTGCCACAAGCTGTAGAGCCAGACCCGGCCCCTCTCCATGGGGAATATGGCTTTGAGCAAAGCCCCAGGCATAATGACTCTGAAAGCCACAGGGTAGCTCTGATTGCAGAAAAACAGAAAAGGGAGGATGGGGAGTTCCTGCCCCTCCTTATCCTTGGCACCTGCCCCTTTCTGAGGATGCAGTCCTGGCCAGGCTGTTGGGTGACCCTGGTAGCTGTGCTTTGCAGAGCAAGGGAGGGCTTGTCTTTGCAGAACCCCAGGCTACTGTAGGGTGATGCAGAGCCAAAGGGGCAATGACCACCCACCCAGGGTAGGGAGCCAGCAGTACGAGCCCCACACACTGGCAGCCAGGCTCTAGAGAGCAAAACCCTTAGTAATCCTGCTTCTGTGCCCCTCACAAGGCACCTGCTACCTCCTGGCAATGGCTCCTCCTTCACATCTTCACTGTCACTGTGATCGGCACCCTACTTCACAGGTCGGGGCGCTCCACAGATGTTCTTGAAATCCTCTGAGACTAAGAGCATTAGGTGTTTTACAGCCGTGCTGGGACATACAGGTACAAATGCTTGTTGGTGTTCAGTGGAGACTCCACACTCTGAACAAGAGCCTGTTGGGCACCAGGCTAAAGCTTGCATATACACACACCTTGAGACATAACCGTGCTCAGCATCTGGGGTTTCTGGGCCATGCATAGCAAATGAGAGCCACAGGCTGTGTGCAACAGCACCATCAGGGAGATGCCCGAGTTGGATCCGTGTCTGGTTCATCTCTCCCCTGTTTGAGGGAATGAGCACCAGTCCTTTTCCTACATCAGCAGCTCCCTCTCTCATTCCTGTGCCGAGACCTCTGCCTTTGTGTACTTTGCAGGTCAGCAGTGCTGAGGCTAAGGCAGTGAGGAGAGGACTCTGACAAGTGGATGGGATTGGGCCTCCAGTGTGGAAGTATCAGCACTTTCACAGTCCTTGTAGGGGTTTGTTAGAGTGGACTTGCAGGTCCTGGCAGAAAGGCTACTGTCTTGTAGCCCAGGAACCATTTTGAAGACTGGCTGGAGCTGGAGGGTGAAAGCTGGACATCAGGGTTGTTTCTGATGGAGGTCTGAGAAGGACGGGCCTATGTGCATGTGGCAGCAGGCCACATGGTCTTTGAGACTGCTCCTCCTTGGGAGCTCTTGAGATAAAACCCCCAACACTGACGAGATTCTGTGCTGGTGGGCAGGTCTAAACTTCACCAGCCTATCAACTCAAAACCCTGGACAGACAATAGGCACATAGATTTGATTTTGCAGCTTGCTTGTTTTATGTCAGGCCTCCAGCATGCACCGGTGTGTTCTCCCGTGGTGCCCCAGAAGAACATGGCAGGTGGCTTCTGCTACAACCTGCATGCACCTCATGAGCAGCAAACAGCTTGACCCCACCAATCCTGTCGGCTGGGCTGGGGGGTCACTGGGAGCAAACATTTCCTTGCTGTGACACTTAGCCTGCAGCACAGGCGTAGTTTAGGAGTTACTGGTTACATGAAAGTCATAAAGCCACCAGGCTTCCTGTGAGCATATGGGCAAGTGCCAGACTCCTCCCAAGACAACATCATAAATCCTTTTGTGCACATAAGAATATTCACTGAGTTTTGCAGGCCTTTTTCATGTTGAAAGTATTCATACATCATCCTGGAAAGCTCTTGGTATGTTGGCATCCAACCAGAAGCAGAAACACTACAAGTCACTGCGATGGTCACTTGTGCAGGCTGAGCAGCAAGTAACCTGTCACATCATGCTGGTGGGTGACCCTGGGACAAAGATGTAGTCACACGGAAACATTTTCAAACAGCAACTGGACCCATGGCAGTCCAGGTCAGGGTGGATGAGGATGGTCATGGGCAACTCAGGATGCTCTGACCTGTGGTGAAGACAGCAATGCACACACAGAGTGCCCAGGGTGGGGAGAAACAGTGGGGGAAAACCCAGCCCTGTATGGGGCTAAGGCTCTGCACCTTCTTGGTTTCCTTTAGCCCATGACTGCCTCAGCTTGGAGCTGGGAGCAGAGCAGGGAATTCAGTGAAGGGGAGGATGGCAGAGGGGACTGAGCAGCAGAAAAGCCCTGCCTGCAGTATGGAAATATATTGTGTGCATGGAGAGACTGCTCCTACCTAGCTGCACACTGTCTGTGTCTACATGAGGGCAGTGGGTGCAAAGGACAACAGGCAGGTTCCCACCCCTGCCTGAACACATGGCTGGCAGCTGCACTGCACTAGTGGGTGGTGGGCATGGAGCTGGGTGAGCACAGCAACTGCCAAAGAGAAAAACATTATCTGGGGAGAGGGGGAAAAGGTGCCAGGCATCAAACCCGGTTGCAACTGAGGCATTATCCCAGCGCTGGGATGGCTGATGGTTGCCCATGCTTAGGTGTCCCGGGTGTCCTACTCTGGGGTGCAGACAGCAGGATCCTTGTTTTGGAAGAGGGAGAAGCTGTTTGTGGAAACACAGGGGTGGTAGGATGAGTGACCAACTCAGTCCCCGACCTGGGGCTGTCTAGTCCTTGCAGCAGGTCTTGGGACCTCCTCATCATAGCTGTTTTGTCTCCTCAGCTCACTCCAAGGCAGCTCCCGCAGGGCATGGTGTTGTGGGTAGGAGTGTGGGCCCAGACTGGGACAGGGGTGCTGCTTTGAGACTGTACCAAACCCCATGCTGCCTGAAGGGGTGAAGGAGGGTAAACGGGTTCCCGGATACAGTTTTTTCTACCCCAGGAACAGGCTCATGAAATCATCTGGTTTTTTTTAACTCTTCCTTTTGATCCTTCTGATCTGCACTTGGAGCTCGATGAACCAAGTTGCTACTTGGAATTTCAGCTTGTGCATGGCCATCCCTGCTTGCAGAGCAGCAGTGTCTCTACATGTGGCTGCAAGGACAACCTAATTCCTGGAGCAGTAGTCAGCGCATATCAGCTGGACCAGGTAGCTTTCCCCTGGTCCTTGGTTCTTGGGAGCCAGCAGGTTCATAACGTCAAGCCCAGGCTTCAGAAAATGTGTCTCTTCCTCGTAAATCTGTGGATGGGTTGGAAGCTCACTGCAGAAGTGTTGCCTCAGTAAGAGGAGCAGATAGGGGTGAGCAGAAACTACTGTGTGCCATGGGCTACAGTATCTGGAGTGTCCAAGGGTACTCCATCTGCTGGCCATGGCTAGGGACACAGCTGCCCTTTTGGGAACGGCTGCAGTGCTGCAGCAGAGGAAGCTGTTGGCATCGCTGAGACCCCACATAAGCCAACTCACCCTTACAAGCACACTCTGTCCTAGGGCTTTTTATTGTTTGTAGCTAAGACTGATCCACCAGCTGAGACAAGCCAGCTCCCATCATGCTCTGCCCACAGCAGTGTCTGAGACCTCAACACACCCGGTGCCCATGGGCACATGGAGACCACCGTGCCCAGCGCTCGTGTCAGATGTCAGCAGCCTGCAGGTGCCAGGCCTGTCTGGGAGCGAGCCCAGGGCTGCCTCTTCTGTGCTGAGGGGCAAGGGCACCACAGGGCCCCCGCAGCTGGCACTGCACACCACAGTTGAGTTACAAACTTTCCAGGCACCAGGAATCCCAGGAGATGGCCAAAGCAGGCAAGCATCCCACCCAGCCCCTCGCCCAGTCTGCACTGAGGGGCTGCAGCAGTGTGTGTCAGGACAGCACTGTCCATCTGTTCAGGAGACCCCATGTTGCTGCTAACACCATGTAGGATGCGTTGGTGACAGTGCTGGGGTAGGTCCCCCCTTGCTGCAGGGCTCACTCTGTGCCAGGAGTCCCATGATGATCTTCCCCTAGCTCCTGACTCTGGACAGGACCCCGCAAAGGTGGAGGGCAGGACAGTGCCAGGAAGTGCTGAGTGCTCTTAGGGCTGTTTCTGAGCAATGATGTCCCGGATGCAGGTGTACAGGAACATGTACTGGTCCTGCAAGAGAGAAAGGGGGGTCTGGAGTCAGGTTTCTGACAGAGACCTCCTGGTTGCAGGTCCAACCCTGCAATTAGCCTTAAAAGGTCCTACTTAACTAACAGTGTCTGATGGCAGAGCAGGATTTGTTGTCCCAAGTGGTCCACATTTGTCCTGTGTCACCAGAGTTGCCCAGAAAGGAAGAATCAGGCCTGGAGCTGTAGTTATACCATGTTTGCTTCCTCCTGCTTCATCATCCCCATGATGAGGATAAGAGGAACATGCCCATCTGAGATGGGGAGCAATGCCATCTGACTTCCTCAAAGTGCCCCAGTGGCCTTTGGATGTGCCATGGTTTTCCATCCAAAACAAGACTGAAGAGCAACTTCAGTGATACTGCAGGGCAACGAGTGGGGAGAGCTCTGCCCTGCTGGAGTGTGCAGGGTCTGGCAGTGACCTGAGGCCAGGAGGGAAGACCTCTGGAGCAGGAGTTTCCCTTGGTGGCAGTCTCAGTGTACCTGAGCCAAGTGCTGACAGTGGATCAGAGTAGATCTCTGCAAGCTCTCAGAAGTAAACAAAAAGATCTGGGTGGCTTTAGTCCAGTTGCATCTATTTTTAAGATCACCAAAATGATCCATCAGTACCAAATGTGGGTCCAGAAGTCTCAAGTCCACTTGAGACTTGATATGAGGTTCTTCTCAAATGCTAGGCGGCTCCAGAACAATGTTAGGCTACAAAACACCCAGGACTGACCACCACCATGTCAGGGCTCCAGGGAAGGCAAGATGTTAGAAAGGTAAATGCGGTTGTACTCAATGTACAAAGCTGGAGGGCAGGGCCAGCCTGCAAATGATGTGGGTCGAAATCACATGGTAGCCGGGAAGGGGGGATTAGGGACTCGACAGAGGGGCCCCCGAAGAGCTCACTAATGCGCTGGCTAAGCTGCAAGTCACGAGGAGCCTCCTCCCCTGCCGGCGGTGGGTTTAGCCCCACTGAAGGGCCGGGAAAGCCACAGATCACACAATGGCTGTGGTTCCAGGTCACCAGAGCATGTTTTCAATGAGCCCAGCCTGATTGTGAAATCTGGAGTGGCAGCCCAGGATTGACTTCAGACCAGGCACACTCAATGCCTGGCCAAATGCAAGAGCACATCCCCAGAGACATGCACTGCGCTGGAGCTGGGGGTGCTTAAGTATCCAGCAGTTATCCATGGACATTCCCTCAAAGGTTCATCTTCCCCCTTGTTTGGCTACTAAACACGCAAATAAATTAGCTGATGCCCCCAGCATGACAGGAGTGCTCCCCCACCAGAGATAAAGGGGTCCTGGCAAGCCCCCACAGTGATGGAGGAGGCTGGCAGCTACATGGCAGTGGTGTGGGGCTAAAGGGCAGCCCTGCCTGTCCTTCGCTGGCCGTGCTGGGATCAGAGCGACCATTGCTTGTGGCAAGGTGGGGAGGCAGCTGCCTCTGCTGCCCCTCCTCAGTGGGGCAGCGGCTTTTGATCGGCCCTTGCTGTGCCTTTATAGGCACATTGTGTCTCTGCTCAGCAAGACCACTGCTGAAATACAAAGGAGCTCTGAAGCAGGGGCAGCAGATGCTTTGCCCTCCTCCGGCTTCTACCATGCGCATGGTTCACATTAATTAAGAATGTGATTAGCTGCTTGAAGGCGGCTCTGCAGCTGGGAAGCCCCGGAGAGATCTGCCCCAATTCTGCTGTCCCCTGTGGGGAGGATTTCCAGGGATGCTGCATCAGCTTGTTCAGCGGTTGCAGCAAATGAAAGCACCATCCAGAGGGCATCTGTGCCACCAGCACCCATCAGAAGCGGCATGCTGGAGGCCTGTGAGGCTGGGCTGGCATGACAGAGCATGGCTGCGGCACCATCAGACAGTGCGACAGCCCATGTGGCTGCAGGGCAGCTGCAAAAGTGGCAGGGTGTCCCACTGACACAGCCCCAGCTCTGGCAGCAGGCAGGGGCTGGGAGCAGGCTCTGGGTGTGGGGGGTGCGGCAAGGAAAGAAACTGGACAAGGGGAAACCCAGCAGATTCTGGGTACCCAGGCTGACAGCTGTGTCCAGAGGCCAGGGGGAAGCAGGCAGGTTTGTCATGTAGGATGAAACCAGTGCTTCGTGCTTTCCAGGGCAGAATGGGAAGAGTGCCTTGCATTTATCGTGAGCTCACATGCAATTTAACCTATTTTAACTCCAGAACTGAAGACATGGAAAGCCCTTCCCTGGGAAAAGACAGTGCCCTTAGCCCTTGGTGGCTGGCAGAGGAAGCACAGAATAAATCCCTGCATAGGCTGGATAGGCTCCCAGGTGGCAGGTAGCACCCAGGAAGTGGGCAGCATGCTGCCAGCTCCAGGCATCTCAGCATGAATGTCCTGTTCTGCCTGGCCCACCACCCTTCCTCCTTCCCACCTACCAGTGTCGGGGTCATAAGACAGCAGCTTTTCGTCAGCTGGAGGGTCACCCCATAGACATCCACAATTCTCTCAGCTTTCATCTGGTGCAACAGGCAATCCAGGGAGATCAGTGTCCCCATTTGGCTCACACCACCACTGAAAAGGACAAGGGAGGGTCATTGATGCCAGACCAGGCTGAGCAGAACCTCTCTGGAAGTGGGCATCAGCCCAAGAAGTCAGAAGCCCCATGAGAAAACATGCAGCAACTGAGTACGGTGGGAATAGGGGATTGTGACCACTCGTCTAGGTGGCAGGAAGGCCTGTGCTGACCAGGGGAATGGGACCCCAAAATGCCATTGAAGGAGCCTGGAGATCCAGACTACTCTGCCCTGCCAAGCTGTGCGTCCCTCACCCAAGCCAGCTCTGCCAATGTGCTGGCTGTGCTGGCTCCTGTGGGACTGTGAGCTCTCCCTGGCTGCAAGCAGATGAGGATGTCAGGGCTGCTGCCAGGATCCTAGCAGTCAGCCCAGGGATGGCCTGGTCTCCTCTGTCCATGAATGCCTGCTCCATCCATGCTTGCCCCTGGCTCAGCCTTGTTTGTCCTCCTTTCTCCCATGCACTCAGCAGAGCACTGCTTCATCTGAACTCCCAAGCTCAGAGCTTCCCTGGCTTCCATGGACCTACTGTCAACATGCTCAAAAACCTTGGGGTCCTTGGTGGAGGGCACAGGCTTGCTGGTGGCCATGCCAAGGTGCTGTGCAGCCTGGTGGGTACCAGCTCTGGGAGGCTGCCCATGGCTGGAGCAGTAACGTGATGTACCTGCAGTGCAGCAGGAGAGGACCAGCTCTCTTTCTGTGGGGCATGCACCGTCTGACAGCAGTGAGGAGCTCCACCAGGCTCTGGACATCTGGCTGTTTCTTGCTGCTCCAGAGCGTGTACAGGAACCGTTGTACCTGTCTCTCCTTTTCTTTCTTCTCCTGATGAGACACAAAGAGTTGATGTGGCTGTTGAGGAGGGATGGGTGAGTTTGGATGCAGAGGGGTCCCAGCTCTCCAATCCTTAGGCTGTCAGATGCCTTCCTGAGCTAAATGCTAGCTTCTGTCCAGGCAGACTGCTGGGGTATTGCCCATCACCTGTGCAGCGGGCATGGTGCCTCTGGTAACCTGCTCTCCTTCCCCACTGCACCCTGACCTGCCCCTTGAGAGGGGGATTGAGAACTGCATGGGTCTTTCCAAAGAGGGTCAGAAAGACCTATCAGCAAGGGGTGGGGGAAGCCTCCAAACCTCTCCCATGCATCTCCTTATGTTCACTCAGCAGATGTTCTTCTAGATGTTGCAATCTAGATTCCCTCCTGCATTTGTGAACTGCTGGCACTCTGCTTTTGCAGCTCAGACAAGCCTCCATGGACCTTTCAGCCCTGGTCCCTACAGACCTGTTTGCTAGCAGTGAAGAACAACCCAGGCAGTGGGAGCCAGGCCAGCCCCATCAATACATACGTGTTTCATTTTGAGCTGGGTACACCTCCAACCGTAGACAAGCTTCTCTGTGCCACACTGGATGGTCAGCATCTTTGTGCAGAGAGAGTCTCCTTCCAGGGGCCAGCACACCTCACTTGGGACCTGTGCGCAACAGCAAGTTTGACTTCATGTTGACGGTTGCCTTATTTCAGATCAGTCACCATCACAGGGGTCTGTGATGGGGTTGGACCAAGAGCACCCCCAATATCACTCTACATCAGTTCATCCCCTAGCTAAACCCTGGGGGAGTTTTTGGAAACAACAGAAGACTGCAGACATCTTCCCTGTTAACATAGAGCTTTCTTGGCAGTGGGAATCTGCTCAGCAAATGCTCTCCACCTCGGATGAACAGAGGTCGGAGCTGCTGTCCTTGGGTGCCATGGAGATGCAGCTTGAAGAGTACCAGCTGAGTCCACAGCCTTGGACTGCATGGTGGGCAGACAGAAGCTGTCTCTCATGACAAGCAGTGGTAGCACTTTGACACAGGAAAGGTTCAGCTTTAGCCAAGCTGGATCTGCACCCAGGCTTCAGGAGGCAGTGATGAGAGTTCAAGTTTCGGAGCTGTGCTAGCTTCCAGCTCTGTTAAACAGATCCCTGCTCTGCCATGGCACAGGCAGGCATGGAGCCTTACCTCCCCCTTCTCCTGCCATGGGAGAAGTGTTAGGATGGTGTGAATGTCCTTTTCCCACACCAGGGTCCAGAAGTCCTCTATGGTCAACTTGTCAGGCCCCTGGACAGCCAGATACTCCCTGCTGGAGCTGCAGCCCTGGGTTGGAGAATGAGAATGTCACTCTCCTGCTGGAGAGGATGGCACAGGTACCCCATCAACCCAGGTGGCTGTAGGAGAGGACAGGAAAAGAAGGGAAGCTCAGAGGGTCAGGAGGCAAAGTGAGGGAAGAAAGCACCAAGGGAAGGACTTGGGGACAGCCCAAACTGGGCAGGTCCCCAGGAGCAAGGCAAGACACATCCTCAGTCCCCACAGTCCCCTCTTGTCCACACAGCATCACAGCAGCGGTGACTGGTGAAGCAGTGCAGGAACCAGGCAGCAGGGACTGGGTGAGGATGGAAAACAGACGTGACAGGACCCAGGCATGGGGGTGGGCATTGCTGCTGGGGGTGCAACTCACCGGGACATGCCACACCTGCAGGAGACCTGAGAAAGGGCCTTGTTCCAGCAGGGAAAACTTCACTCTGGAGCGATCATCTGCAAAATATGCAGGAGGTGGAGGGACCCAGGGCAGCCTCGCATTCACACAGCTCCTGCAGACCAACTGCCAGACTCCACACAGCTGCACAAATCCAATGTCCCATTCACTGTTTCTCTGCAAAGGTCCTCCCCTCTGCAGTGCTCTTGTCCAGCTCATGGACAATGGTCCCCAAAAGACAGCCCTGGGGCTTGTTGTGGAGATGCTGGAGGGGAATCCTTTTCTGTGAGTGGGAAGGGACCTTCACAGGTCTCTATCCTGAAGTCGTCCTCAAATCAGATATGTGTAGTGCAGGTTGCTCTGTGTCTTGGCCAATGGAGATGTGCATATGTCCAAGGATGTAGAGCCTGCAGATGCTCTGGGCCCCAGTTCCAGTGTTTGGCCACCTTCATGGGAATTCTTTTTTCCTTATACTGAGTTGGATTGCCCTTCCAAATAATCCCCATTGCCTCTTGTCCTTCCATGGTGCACCTCTGAGAAGACTCTACATCTTTTCTGTGCCCTCCCAGCAGGTAGCTGAAGATAGCAAAAAGATCTCCCCTTTGCCTTCTCTCCTCCTGGCTGAATAAACCCACCTATCTCAGTCCCATACATCATGTGTTCTGCCCCTGAAACACCTTGGTAGCCTTCTCATGGACTCACTGCAGTGTGTCAAAATATTTTCCTGTAGTGTGGAGCACCAGCCCTGGTCCAGTCTGGCTCCATGCAGTTACAGGAAGAGGATGCTAGGTGTCACAGCACTTACATGGAAGGATGCTGGAAGAGGGCCGTGTCTGCTGGTTGCCTGAAGATGGTGTTGCAGAGCTGGCTTCTTCCTTGACAACCTCCAGAAGGGTCTGCCAGAGTGAGAGTGGAGGAAGGGTCAGGAGGAGCAGGCAGAACTGGGGACTTCTGAAGACGCTTGCCTTGGCAGTGGGGTGGTTATAGCTGCACATGCAGAAGCCTTAGAAAGGGCGCTATGTGACCACCTCTGGGGTGGGCTGCCAGCTCTGCTCCACACTGTCAGGAGATGGCTGCATCTCTCTGTAGGAAAATGGTGTAAGTAGGTCCCTACCCTGCATGGGGTCTGGGAAGGAGGGGGTCACGGACAGACCCTCATCAGTGCAGGATGCGTGGGGGAGCTATGTGCCTGGGGACACAATGCCATGGAGAGGGGACACTGCCAGGACAGCCAGGCACGTGGAAACTGGGGCATGGGACCTGCTCAGGAGGAACTTCTTGGGTGTCCCCCAGCCTGACCAGGTGCTATTGCTCCCCAGGCCCCTCCAGAGCGTATGGCCATGGCAGAGCTCCCTGCATCCTGCCCAGGACAGCTCTTACCTCGTACTCCCTCAGGAAACCCACATGGGACTTGGCCGCCTTCTGGGCGTAGTGCTGAGCAAAGCTTTTCAGTGGGATGGGGCAGGACCTGGGGAGAGAAACTGGGGGTAAGGGTGAGGTTGAGCAACCTCAGCAGCATCCAGGCTGTGTCTGCAGTAGGTAGAAAGGCACCTTCACCACTCAAATGCTGTGGATGAGGGTGGGTAGACTGGCAGACAAAACGCAGCAGGCCCTTACCTCTCTGACCCTGATAAACCCAGGAGTGGTTCCTCCAAGATCTTTTCGAGGATACAGCTGTGCAAGAAAATATACTGGGACTGGAAGGCGAAGGCAGACAGTGATGTAGAGCATTGCACCATACAGACGGCATGAAAGGGTGGGTATGGCACTACCTGGTGGGCAGAGGGTGTCCTATATTCATGCCCCCAAAGCCCTACATTCATGCCCAAAAGGCCTTGGCTCCTTCAGTTTCTGAGGTCCTTGATCCCTCCACTGGGTTGGTCTGTCCTGAAGGGTAGTACTGACACCTTGTCCCAACCCTGAGTACTGGAAATATTAGATGGGCTGTGGCCACCACAGGCCAATGACATGGTGTGGGTTAAGAATTGCCTGCAAAGGGCCTGATCCTGCTCCTAGGTGCTCTGGGGTGTTTCTGAGCCTCCTGGGAGGGCTCTGAGACTCTGTAAGTTGCTGCTGTAGGTCTGGCATGGCATGAAGCTGGTGGAGACCCCCCACAACCAAGCAATTTCCACTCCAGATGAGCTGCTGCTTTGAGCAGCACTGCGACATAGTGTCAGGTTGGGGACCAGCCTGGGGGTGCTGGGGCTGGCCGGCCAGCTCATCTGTCTGCCAGCCCAGGTAGCTTTTATGTCCTGGAGCAAGGGGCCTGGGGGAAGAGGGAGAAGAGACTTTACCAGTGTCTGAATCATCAGGTAACGGTTCATCCTCAAGGCATAAACAACACCAAATGTGTCCACCACCTTCTCCTGCTTCATCTGCTGCAGCAGCCGGTCCAGGGCAATGAAGGTGCCAGTGCGGCCCACCCCGGCACTGAGACCACAGACAGCAAGGGTTAAACATCACCTGACCTCACAGCCGATTGGCTCCCCACCCGCTCTCAGACATGGCTCCCAGATGCTGCACCCTGGGGCACTGGTCCCAGCACAGCATGGGGTTCAGGAGCCATTCAGACTGCTCTGGGTTGGTGCTGACCATCTCCAGCTGTCCCATGCCCTGGGACTTGGGGGAAGGCTGCAAGGAGACCTGTAATCCCCAATGTCCAAGCCAGGAGACTCTACAGACCAGCTGTGTCTCTGAGGCACTGCTTTCCCTCCCAGCTTGTGCACGAGTAGGACCCTTGTCACCCATGCCCTCTCCCATCGTCCCCTCCTGCCGTTCTCCGGAGCAGAGCCTTGCCTGCAATGCACGAGGGTCGGCCCCGCATTCTTGGTGCTCTGGATGTGCTCCCGGACCAGCTCTCTGAAGGTCATAATGGAAGTTGTGGACTCCGGGATCCCGTGGTCAGGCCACGCAGTGTAGTGCAGGTGGGACACGTGCCGTTCTGCCCGGAGACCCTCCTGCCAGGGGGATGTTTGTGATCGGCATGCAGCCCACTGGGACAGGGGCATGCATGCACCCCGCAGCCCTGGGAGCACCCAGGGTCTTGGGGACACCCGGCTCAGCTGCAGGGAACAGCCAACACCAGGTCTGCTGCACTGCCTGGTGGCTCCTGCTGCACTGTCCTCCCGCATAGTCCCCTGCCATGGCAAGGCACATGGAGGTGGCAAGAAGGAGACCTGCCTTTGAGTGCTGGGGAATGTGCCCTTGAAGCTGCAGGCTGTGTCCCTGTGCAGGGACATGGAAAGGAGAGCAAGGGTGGACAGCAGGGGTGATACACACTGACAGTGACAGACTGCTCTGCAGGGGACTGGGTCTTTGAACCCTGCTAATGGCAGGGAAAGGAAATTATGCCACCACCACTGAGGAGAAATGCTACTGCATCCTGTGCAAACCCCCAGCCCTTGACAGGTCCCTGAGTCCATCCTCTTGGGTCCTTACTCACGTGCCACAGTTTGAACTTGCGCATGGTCCACTCCTCAGAGCTGCTCTGTGTCAGCAGGTGGACCTGGACCTGCCCGTAGGACACCGGGGCAGATTCGGATGGCCAGTAATGATCACAGAGGACCTAGACCACAGGCAAGACAGGGTTCTAGTGAGGCCAGTGAGGGCCCAAGTCCCACTGGGTGATCTTCCGGCTCCCTGGGAGCATCTGGAGAGAGGCAGCTGTGCAGGGAACCAGGGCAGGTCTTGGGGAGCAGGCAAGGGTACTTCCCCTTCCCACCAGGAACTTTGCATGGCACTACCCCACCTCCCCTTTGTTTGGATCTCAGCCTCCTCCAGAGAAAAGGACTTGTGTGGGTCTCATCATCCCTGGAGACTAAAGGAACAGTCCATGTGAGGTGTATCATCCAGAGTCAAGTGGTAATTTCAGACGCTGCAGAAATATCTGAGGGTGATTCCAGCTAAGCCCCACTTCTGCCCCTTCCTACCCCAAGCTAACGCTGAGCTGCACACATCAGCCTCTGTTCAACCCAAACTGCCTGTCAGGGAAGCTGTGTGGCCTGTGCTCACCCTGGAGCCACATCTGAGCAGGACTTGGTGGAAGACCCAAACCCAGCCCTGGGCTCAGCTCACACGACCAGGTCTGGTCTTGGCTGGGGCTGGCACATGGAAGCCCGGTGGTGCCAACCTACCCGCCCATTCTCCATGCACACTGTCAGCATGATGATGTTGCAGACGTTCTGCTCCCACACCAGCCTCCAGAAGTCCTCTATTGTTTTCTTCAAGGGCCCCTGGGTGGCAATGAACTCCTGCTGGGATGTATAGCCCTGAGCAAGAGGCAGACAGGAGGAGTTGGCAAGTTGCTGAGGCAGGTGGATCCTGCACTGGGACGGAGTCAGCGCCTGGTCTGCTTTTGCAGTAGGGGGAGAAAAGCCCATGCCCTTAGCCCAGGTGGGCACAGTTCCCAGGCAGATCATCTCAGAAGCAGCTGATTTCACAGGAAGCAAGTGCTGCCCAGCACGTGCTCTCTACATATTTGGAATAAAGACGTGATCCCCACCTTTTCCCTCCAAGCAGTTCCTCATTCAACCTAACCAGGGAAAGACAGATCTGGGTCTTTCTTGTGCTCCCCAGTCATTGCTGAAGGTAGGGCGAGCATGCAAGGTCTCAGGCTGCTTCTTTGCCTTTGCCCCTTTGACACACACATGCCCCGCGGATCCACACACCTGCGCGTGCATGCTGTGTGCCCTGCCTGTTACCTGGGAAAAATCTCCCTGATGGAGGATGTGGGAACTGCTCCGGGGTTGTTCAAATGCAGCTGCACAGACCAGAAGGAAAAAGAGCAGACAGATGGGGCAGTAAGCTGGGAGAGGATGGGAAGAGGATAGCCCTCAAGAAGAAAGCAGAAAGCCTTGCCAGTCTCCCCACACTCACACCTCTGCATTCACAGCACTTGCCATCTGACGATCTCCATCAACCCCTGCTAAAGGGCAACTATGCATCTCTGCCTGACCCCCAACTCCTTGCCAGTCTGTGCCAGCTGTGGCTTCAGTGGCAGCTCTTGCCCACTAGCCCTCACAGCCTCAATCCAGGCAGAGTTTCTCTGATGGTGCCCCATGGCCATGTCTCTGTGGGGAAGGCAAGTGGGATCTCACAGGCATGAAGTTGGCATTGATGTAGTCTGAGTGCGGATCGTCCCCCAGTTGGCTCAGCTTGACCCGAGAGTGATCGTCTGAAAAAGACCGTACACACATGACTTCCAAGGCAGCCCTTCACCAAGACATGGCCATCTCCTCTTCACCTGGGCAACACATCAGGAGAAGCGCCAGCAGCTCCGCTAGCTCCATGTATGCAGCCAGCAGTAAGGCTCTGTGCTCGGCCAGGCACCTCCCTGGAGAGGTGAGCATTGCCTGCCAGCTGGGTTAGCAGGGGAGTAAGAAAGCAGAGCTAGTATCATGAGTCTTATTGGAGAAGCGATGGGACAGTCATGGTCCCACTTTGGTCTCCAGCTGGGACCCATCCCTGAGCTGGGCTCACCCAGCATCTGCCTAGCAGCCTTCTGGAGGAGCTGAGGAGGGTGGTGGCTCAGCCCTGGCTCAACCCTTAAGCCTTGAGTCTCCAGCAGAAAAAAGGAAACTGAAGCCCTTTGCAAGATGCCTTCTCCCAGGAGAACTGTGAACCCTGCAGCGATGCAAGGTGAGACCATCCCTGTGTATTGCAGCGTGAACTCCCACCCTGGATGCTGGGGGGAGGAGGGAGGAGACAGCACTTACAGGGCAGCACGTGGGGATATCTGTTCTTGGAGACATTGGCTGGTAGTTCGGCCTCCACCTTTGGCTGCTCCTTCCCAACTTCCTTCAGCTCCTGTAGGACAAGGGAGAGGATAAGCACAAGTGTCCCTCTGAAGAGCTCCTGGCCAACCCAGCTCCCTGCTCATGGCCAACGGCTGTGTCTGGTGGTTCAAGACGGTCACCTATGCACAGGGAACTTCTCTACTGCCTCAGGATAGCCTGTATATTCTGAGCCATAGGTGGCTTTTCCCAGTGCCTTTTCCAACAGCACTGTATTTAAAAGAAAACAGCCCAAGAACAAGTATTGGGGAAAAAAACCCCTCAGAAATTAGAAAGAAGCTCAGAGCATTTTGTGCTGAGAAAACAGAAACATCTTGTGCTGCATCTGCCTCTGTCCTCACTCAGAAGGCCAGAGAAGGGTGATGTGAGGTGGGACTTTCAAAGGTGCTGGCAGCAGAACAATTCAGAGCCTACAGATGTTGGCAGAGGGAGCCAGTGAAGCTAGTCAGGTGAATTTCACAGCCTGGCCCTATAGCTCTGAGGGTGCTCCTTGTCCTTCCTTTTGGTTGCATGCTTTTTTCTAACACTGTCAAGGTGGATCTCATTGCAACACCACTCAGCATCTTTGCCTCCAGTCCAGGCCTGGGGCCCTTAGCTTTGTCTACCAGCAGCTATGGACAGTGCTAGTTCACCTCATGCCACAGAAAACACGTTTCTACCAGAACTTGAACAAAACAGGTTTTGAGCAAAGGGATTGCCTGACCACTTGGTCCATCCAGTCTTTAGCCTTCAAGATTGCCTAGTAGGGTGTTTGGATTGCTAGAGAGCTGGGTTACTGTCTCTGGAGATGAGGAGTCTATACAGGCCACCCAACAGCTGGGGCATGAGCTACCTAGAGGGGAAATTAAGTCTCATCTCTAGCAGGAGTCTCATCTCACCTCAAACTCCTGGAAAAAAGCGTGGTTAGCACTTGCTGTCTTCATCTCATAGTACTGCTTGAAGTTCTGTATGGGAATTGGCCGATGGACATTTCTGCATGAAATGAAGTCCAGAGGAAAATCTCCTTTAGCTATTGGAAGGTCTGGCAGGCCAGTCAGGCAGCCAATGAGACAGCCCAGCCTTGAGACCTTCAGTACCTGGATGTACACACACAGGGAAGGTTTATAGCCCATGTCACTGCCCAGGGAAGTGGGTCCAACAGAGCATTGTTTAAATATTGGGAAGGATTTCAGGTTGATGAGGATATTCTCCTACTGCAGAAGACTTGCAGAGGAGGTGTGGACAATGCATTTCCACTTCCACTGACTTGGAATGGAGCTGGGCAATAAATACTGAACATGGGAAAGCCTAAAATTTAAAAAATAACTGAAGGACATGAGTCAGAGATGGAGTTTTCCTGAGTCAAAGCATGAGAAGTGAAGTAGGTGAAGGACTCTGGGACCTGCAGTGGGGACACGCAGAGAGGGAAGACTCCAGCACTCACCTCAAGGTGTAGGTCACCATTTCCTGGGGCAAGCTGCTCTTCTTAGTTCTAGAATCAAAGCATGGGAGATGTTACTCTTCCCTGCAATGCAGGGACAGATGCTGTGAACATATTGTGTACTGGTGGCTTGTGCGTGTGAGTGCCTGTGAGCAGACAGCTCACATCAGGCACACTGCCTTGCATACATGTAGGGTTCTGTGAATTAATTGCACACGGGCAGCTCCTCTCTCCCCTCTGCTTTTTGCTTCTGTGCTTGCCAGGCACAACTCCACTAGCGGGTGGCCTAGTTTGCCTAAAACTGGTTTTATACCGTCTCACTGCTCTTCTTCCTGGCCTGGCATGGAAGGTAGGGTTTCTCAGCCTGCACCCAGCAGGCAAGAGATGGCTCATCCTCACCTCTTTGCTCTGAGCTGTTTCCAGTAGACCAAAACAAAAATAGCCGCAAGTGTCAAGAGAAATCCCACGATGATTCCAGCAATTATTGGCATTGAGAGTGGGGTTGTTTCTGCACCGGATCCAGCAGCTGGAATCAAAGAGATAGAACAGACAGAAGTAAGAGTCAGTAAACGGCTGTATTTTCTCTATTCATTATATTTGCTACAGCCTATGATCTCCCGCTGGCTTGCCATTGTCCTGTTGTTAATCATTTCTACCTTGCACAGCGAGGTAGGGAAGATGGCATTCTCCATCTTACCTGAGAACATGGTGAATGTTACTGCAGGGGCTACTGGGTCATATTTGGTGAAGGCAGCGATGCTGAACCTAGAACAAAGCAGAGTCCTGCAGTCAGGGGCAGTCTGAACTGAGCACAGCACCCATGCAGCCAGCAGCAGGAAGATCCAAGGGAACAGGGAACAGGGCAACTACCTCTGTTTTGAAATGTTGTATTGGAAGAAGCTGGTTTTCTGGTAGGGGTTTAAGGAATGTGTGGAAATGGTCTTCTCTCACTTTTCTGCCTCTTGGACAGAAACAGGGAAAGACAACAGTAAGTAGGGAAAATCAAGTTGGGTTGAGTCACCATCTTAGTTCATGTCAACCCATTAATTGGGTTGACTTGAAAGACCTGAGCCCAGGTCACTGTTTGAAACAGGGGCACCTCAGCTGGAAGGGCTGAGCCCCGGCCCATACCCTTCCTTGTGCACAGAGAAGTGGCTGGGGCACCCTGTGGAGATCTGCCCTACATTCTCCTCCTCCCAGAAGTGTGCACACCAAGCCTCACAGCTCCCTGCAGAGCTGACTTCTTTCTGAGCAGGTAATCTGGAAGGGTAGCTCTTCTTGTGCCCTAAATGCAAGCTAAGGCTTTCAATCATAGCTTTGGATTTGAGCTGCGAAGAATTTGTGGAGCCCAGTGTGAGTCCCTTCTGGCAGCGCCCTGGACCCAGCTGCCAGAGCAAAGACATCTTTGGAAACTGAGCCCGCAGATGCCATGGCATGGGAGATAAGGGCTTGTGGATAAATAACTCACTGAAAGATGGGAAACAAGGGCTGGCTTTCAGAGTGGAGATGGGCTGTCAGAGGTATCTGCTTTTCACCACACTACTAATGATTAACTAGGAAAGCAGCACAGTTTACTGAGGATATATGTTGTTTAGGGCAGGCAAAATAAAAGCAAGCTGTGAAGAGGTGCAAAAGGATCTTCTAGTCCTGAGTAACTGGACAGTTAAGTACATGTTATTCAATCACGGCAGATGGGCTAACGACACCCTGATGGCTCTGAATTAGCTGCTGCCCTGTGGGAGGTCGATGTTGGAGTGAAAACGGCAGCTGGGAAGCATGGAGGGCAGATAGACACTCTCAGACTGGCTGGACAGTATGTGCGGGGTGGAGGGGTACCAGAGTGTGTTTGTGCTTTTGTTAAGACTCCCCTCGAGGCTGCTGGCAGCTACAAGAGATGGGTCAGGCAGATCTTGGTCTGAGCCAGTGCGTTGTAACGTGGACCCACCTTGCACCCAGGCTGTCCTCTGTCTCAGCCTTGACGGCTGGAGCAGAAGACCAGATCTGAGGCTGCTAGGGTTAAGCAGCAAGGCTTGCCCTGCCATGCCTGAGGCTGAATCGGGCAGGAGCCATTAGCAAAAAAGAATAGATGGGATTGATGGGCAATCAGTTTCAAACCTTCTGAATCAACTGGAAATTCTCCCTGCCAGTGTAAGTTTTTCATGTAAGTGGAGTCTGTGCATAGCAAAAGTACAGAGAGCCAAGCACGAAAGAAGGAAGGAAGGAGAGCCAGCAGCTCCAAACCCAGCAGTAGGGACCTTGACTCCACTCAAAACTTAAGGGCAGATCTAATTCTCACTTTACTTATAGGGGAAAGTGAAGTTCTCTCTCATGCACACACTGTCTCACGGTCTTTCTCTTTTCCCAACACTCTCAGCAACTTCTATCACTAGTCAGCCACCCTTGCTGTAAGTTTCTTTGAACTGAAATGGGACAACCTGCCAGATTCTGGGGGATCCCTTTGTCAGAGGAATGCCTGGGGATATGGTCCCTATTTGATGAAATTGTGAGCTTCTAAATTAACAGAGGACTGACTAAAGATATTATTCTTTTTCTGTAATAGAAAACCTGTTTTACCATCAATTATTTTAAAGGTACCCTCTAGCAAAATATGTATGCTTGGACATTGATGTTCATGGATTCTATTTACTGTCAAATAAGACTCTGAATTTATGAATGTTGTAATCTTTCTGTGTGTCTCATGGGGAACTTGGACCCTAGCCTATGCATTTGCTACCCTCAACCTTTGAACCCCCAATTGTGTAGGCACCACTTGAACTAATGTTTCCGAACCAGTTTCATTTTTGCACTCTCTGAGTCTGCATGTGACTCTGAGTCACATGCTAAAGCCCTACAAATAACAGCATCCGTTTTAGTTCTTACCCTGGAGGTGGGAAACTGCCCAGCTCCCAACGCAACATGTACAGCCCTCGTCAGCCTCAGCTTTCACTTCTGCTCTCACTCTCCCTGCCCACTTACACTGTCTAATATTCTCTGGTATGCCAGCCCTTGCATCCCTTAGATGCTGCTTAGTGGAGCAACCCCTGGGGTCCACTGCTGGGGGTCTGGGGAGTACAAGAGTGAGGTGGTATCCAGGGAGCTGGTGGCATCTTGCAGGGACACGTGCAGTCCTTTTTCTCCTCCAGCCCCTTCCCCTCAGGAGGGATGTTGACATCTCTCACCTGTACTGTTCGTTGGCTTTCAGCTTCCCATTGCACGTTTCCCTGGACTGGCCACACTCCTCTGTTCCCACTGGCACTCGCCAGGTTTCAGGGGAGGTCCCGGGGCTCAGATGGAAGGGATTGGGGATTAGCACAGCCAGGTAGGAGTCCTCTGTCCCATAATAGTGGTCATACCATGTGCTGGACATGATTTCCTGGGTGGGCCTCAGCACTGAAGGGGAATGTACAAAAGTGATGTCCAGGGGACCTGCTGCCCTCCAGGGAGCCACTGCAGATCGGGATGTGCAGGGGCACTTACGTGAATCATTAGTGGTAGCAATGACACCATAATACTCGATCTGGCCATTCTCCTCACTGAATAGGTTGGATGAAATGATAACTGTGGAGCTGGCTTCCACCTGGAAGATGTCTGCTCGCAGGGGTGGAGGCAGGGCTGGAAGAGGAATCGGCAAGCTCAGCCTGTTAGTGTGTCCCTGCTCCCACAGACCCACCACATATTGCTCGGGCTGTGACTGGTCCCAGCATTACTGCCCAGAGCCCTGACCCACTGCAGTTCAGTGCAGGACCACATGGAGCTCACAGGCATCTGAAAGAGTCCCCAGGTCTAATTAGCAACACTGGGTGTCTTCTGGGGTCTGTGGCAAGGCTGTGGGAAAGAAGGGGACTCACCCTCCACTGTTGTGTTGCAGAGCAGAGTCACAGCCTGGCTCCTCATTGTGTTCATGCCCACTGTGCTCACAACAATTCGGTACGATGAGTTTGGCCCCAGCCCCTCCAGACTGGCCTCACTAGTAGGGATGCTCATGACATACTTGGAGGTGGGAGGTCCATCAGAGAGTCTCTCTGCCACCACCTCATAAGCCTCCACATCTCCAGGAGAGCTGGTCCAGTTCAAGTAAAGGCTCCTTGACTCTGGCAGGCATTGTACATCCTCCACTGGGTTTGGCTCTGCAACGGAGATGTGGCAGGCGCTGTCCTTAATGGATCAGAGAAATCCCAACCTCAGACCATGCGTCAGCCCAGACCCACTATGGTCCTCTGCTGCCTGTCCCTATGTCAATGGGAGAGGAGCTGAGCTGGACACCTGTGATCTGGGAGCCTTCTGTGCCAAGGGCCACAGGACAAGGCGAATGGGTCAGGGCCTGAGCAGATGTCTTACAGGAGAAGCAGACCAACGGAGATCTCTGCAGAGTCCGCTTTGCTTCACAGGTAGCCAGGCCACGAGGTGATGGGTAATCTCTGTGGTGGGGCTAGCCTAGGGAGCTGATGGCTACCAGAGGGTCACCTTTCTAGTTTTCCTTTTCTCCCAGCCTGAAGACTTCCCACGCTTCTGTTGACCCCCAAGGGCTGATCCAGTCTTGAGGCCACCCAGGCGTTTCTTCCCCTTCCAGCCTGCACTCCCCCCATCCCCACGGCAGCGCATACCCACCCATCGGCACTGCCAAGGGTTTGGTGCTGCTCCAGTAGGGCCCAGCCACGCAGCTCAAGGAGACAGAGTAGTTCCTCCCTGGGATCAGCCCCTGGAGGAGGTGCTGGACTTGCCCTCTGCCGAGGGTGTGCCGCCAGGGCAGCGTGCTGTTCCTGGTTTCCCGCAGCCACAGCTGGCAGTCATCCTGCTGTCCAGAGACACTGCCCCAGGAGATGAGCATTGTGTTGTTCCCTTCAGCCACCGCAGAGAGATTTTTGGGAACTGAGGGGGCTACAATAAAACCACACCAGGGGAGAGTTACTGGCATGCATGTAACTCTCTTCCATCCTGTAGAGATAGAAGCAGAAGATGGGTAATATGCAAAGAAAATTCATGTGTTCAGTGAGAACATTTCTGCAGCTACTGACTGCTACTACCAGAAATGACCTTTAAATGGCAACTGGAGGACATGCAGAGTGAGGAGCATGAGGAGATGGGTTCTTCCTCCTGCCAATTAGCATGTTTCATTAGAGACCTGCCTGAAGGTCTCTGCACATGACTCCCAGCACTCTGCTAGGGGCTGGCTGAGACCTCTGGATTGCCCCAAAAAAGTGCAGGGACTGTGGGGACAAGCACATGAAAAGGCTTATTGTGCTTATCTGCAATTTTCACATTCCTTTAAAAAAAAAAAAAGTCCAGCCTCCCCTTATCCCCCATACAAGGAATTTTCTGAGTGCCTGGGATTAAGGCAGCAGGGACAGTGGGGTGTCCCCCCCTGGCTGTAAGGCCTCCTGGTCTCCCAGGCGTGGGTGTCCTCTACCAGAGCAGCACTCTGGGATCCCTTGCTGTTGTTCAGTCACCCATGCCTGGAGGAGCCAGCCTGTGTGAACAGCAGGGTCATGAGCTGGAGGTCTGCCTCCTGAAACAGCAACCACGGCTGCCAGACTGTCCTGTGGGCAGCAGTATTGCCCTGCTCTCCCCTTCACTGGAGGCTTGCACATTGATCCCATTGCTATGGTGGTACCTACAGCTTCCAGGCAGCAGTCCCAGCCCTGTTCCTGCCCGTTCCCACCACAGGTGCTGCACCCACCCAGCTGGGGAACGCTGAGCCTCACGCATGATGCAAGGACCTCCAGCTCTTGCCACTTACTTGTCCAGTCGCTGATGTTCCCTGCAGAGGCTGCGTAGGGCCCTGCCATGGACACCACTTCCAGCAGGTATTTGTGTCCTGGAGCCAGGCCAGAAAAGGTGAATTTGCTGACGCCTTTCCCGACAGATACATTGGCTGCCACAATACCTGATCCCGAGTGATACAGGAGGAGCCTGTAACTGTCTTGTCCTTGGGGATCAGCTCTCCAGGATGCACTCAGCCTGTTGGGATACCCCTGGTTCGTCATGTACACGTTACGGGGTGCCACAGGGTCTGGAAAGACAGGATAGGAGATGTTGTCAGTGAAAGGTCTGAGGACATTGCCTGGGTATCCTGGCAGTGTCATCACAAGGGATGCACCACACCACAGGACAGGACACTTCGTGTCAGCTGCATGGCTGCATCCACCAGCCTGGAGGCAGCTAAAAGCAGTTTCTGCAAGCTCCAAGTGGCGCTTGCCTCAGCAGACATAGCCCCGTCCCAGCTGGAGCAAGGCACCCAGGGATGGGAGAGGAGGGAGCACCCAGCCAGCTGGAAGGGAGAAGATGAATGTCCCTGTTCACTGCTCCCTCCTCTGTGCCTCTCCTCTGAAGCACAGCCCCTGGAGCTGCAGCTGCTCTGATCCAGGCTGGTGGAGCTGATGGTGAAGGTGGGCAGAGCCCTGCTCAGTGCCATGGCACTGATGTGCCCTTGGGTTCAGGCAGGGCTCAGAGTCTTCCATGAAGGTCAGCGGCACCGTGTCCTTTGCCATGAGCCTTCGTGACTGCCCAGCAAGGCACACATCACGCTCAAAAGCAGGTACTCACATGTCCAGTTGCTGATGTTCCCTGCAGGTGTCCGGTAGGAACCTGCCACAGACACCACCTCCAACACATACTTGCTTCCTGGGGCCAGTCCCGTGAAGGTGAAGTTGTGGGTGTCTTTCCCAAGCAAAGTTGTAGCTGCCACAGTGCCCAGCCGTGTGTGGTACAGGGTCAGTGTGTAGCCGTCTCGTCCCCCAGCTGCGGCTTCCCAGGACGCGCTTAGCCTGTCAGGGTGCCCCGTGCTCAGCAAGTGCACAGTGGCCGGGGGCAGTGGGCCTGGGGAGTCACCAGACCTGATGTTAGGGACCGGAGACTGCACGGAAGGAAACACACTTGACGGGACATTGTGCAGCAGAACAGATGCTCCCTGAGGGCTGGGACATGAAGGGCCCCCTCTGGCACACCCCTCCTCCTCACTTTTCTCTTTTCTGTCCCCATCCCCCCTCACCTTTAATGCTGCTCACCCTTTGTGGTCCCTCACACACCAACCCTTCTTCATCCAGGTCACCATCATCCCCATAGCCCAGCTGGAGCACCTTTGCCACCACCGCGTGCACACACGTCCTCCAGCACCCAGCTGGCATGCAGCTGCCTGGGCAGAGCTGGCACAGTGTCTACACTCTGTCCAGCCCTAAAATCTTTCTGGGTGGGGAGAAGTGCTGAACTAGCAAAGACCCGCTCTCCTGGGAGGACTGTGGATTAGCCTCTTCTACCACACTGATTCATGGACCTTTATGGTAATGTCTTTTCTACCTGCTGGAGGAGACTTAGCAAGGGTGCAAGTGCTCCTGTATACAGGGAGATGGGGCTGCACGGGCAGAGGGCTTTCCCTGCGTGGGCACAGCTAGGTAACCCTGCATGTCATCAGCAGGTACTTGTGCAAGTCTACAGCTGAACATCCATGTGCCCATGAGGGTAGCGGTGTGCCCATGCACTAACTGCTGCGTGTTGCACCCATGGACATGTGCGTGCACATCTCCAAAGGCGCCAGGACCCCTGTAAACCTCCCAGCCCTCCTCAGGGCTGCCCAGTGGTGCAACATCTCCCAACCCTCTGCAGAGGACAGTCCTCCAGGCACTTACGTGTCCAGCCACTGATGTTGGGTGCCACTGCTTGGTACGGTCCAGCTGTGGCAGTGGCCTCCAGGGAGTACTCGTATCCTGGGGCCAGGCCCACAAAGGTGAAGTTGTGGGTGTCTCTCCTGAGTGAGACCGTAGCTGCCACAGTGCCCAGCTGCGCTTGGTACAGGGTCAGTGTGTAGCTGTCTCGCTTCCCAGCTGCGGCTTCCCAGGACATGCTCAGCCTGTCGGGGTGCCCCGTGCTCAGCCAGTGCACGTTGGCTGGGGGCAGCGGGCCTGGGGAGGAAACATGAGTCACTGCCAGGAGCCACGTTCAGGCTGAGGGAAAGGAGACGCTCCATGCCTGTGCCCAGCCTCTGCTGCAGGAGCTGGGTCAGCCCTGCAAGGTCCCAAGTGCTGGCTTTGCCCTTGACTCTATGGCAGCTGCCTCCAGGGATTGCCTCCTCTCTGGTGCTGTGGACAGCTATCTGGGACATGGGTGGCCAGGCCACGGGGTCATGCACAGAATCCCCATGCTGCATCCAGAAGGGCATGAGCACTGAGCGCTTGCATGGGTGGGAGAGGAGGGCAGGATCTAGCTGCACCAGTATGGCCTCTGGTTTGAACCAGAAAGGGGGAGATCTGGTAGTGGACAACACCTGGCTGCGAGGAGAGCATCATACTCACGTGTGCAGTGGGTGAGGTTGGAGGTGCTGGTGTGGAAGGGCCCAGCTGTGGCCCTCACCGCCACGCTGTAGTGGGTGCCGGGGCTCAGGTTCCTGAAGGTGTGACTCCTGGCATCCCCACCCAGCACCATGTGCCCAACATGACTGCTGGAGTCTGTGTCATAGACAGCCACCACGTAGCCTTCTGCTCCTCGCCCTGTTGCTGCCCAGGAGACCTGCAGTACGGAGGCAGAGGGGCTGCCCAGGGTGAGGTTGGCAGGGGCCAAGGGATCTGGAAAGCAACAGGGAGACAGTCAGCCCCCGTGTGGAACTGCTCGCTGCGCAGAGCTATGAGCCAGCTGCTTTGCCCAGTGGTTCCTTGTGCTCTGGCAGTGCCATGGGCTGGACTCCAGCCCCCAGATCCCACTGGGCAGTAGGCAGGCTGGCCACCAGAAATCCTCCCAGAGAGAAGTGTGGGGACAAATGGGCAGACAGTGCAATACCCCCAGGGCTTGCAGCTAGACATGGCAGGGGAGATACCCAGAGCCTTTGAGGTGGGTAAGGAGGATTGGCTCTGTGTCAGGGAAGGAGTGAGGAGAGTGAGCAGAAAGGTGGGACACCTATGTAGAAGCTAGGGGCACAGCAGGGATGGTTTGGGATGGGGAAGGTGCTCTGCAAGGCTCAGATGGAGGCTCTAGGGCACAGTGGCATGCTGTGTCCAACCCAACCCATCAGACTTACGTGTCCATTGGGTGACGTTGGTGGAAGAGGCTTCAAAGAAGCCTTTCACAGCAGTGACCTGCACGGCAAACCTGCTGCCTGCCTCCAAGTGAGTCCAGGTGATGTTCTGGGCATCCGGACCCAAGGTCTGGACCCGATCCCTGCTCTGAGTGCTGAGGCTATACAGAATAATGCGATAGTGGTCCCTCCTGCCGGGGGGCTTGTCCCAGCGTGTGTAAAGCTCTGAGGAGCTGCCTGGGTTGGTAAGACTCAGGTTTGTTGGTGCAGCAGGAACTGCAAGGAAAGACAGACACATGAGTCAAAGATCCAGTTCTGAACATGCAGCCGTCTCCAGGAAGGAACCTGGCCTTCCCAGGCAGCCAGCAGCAACGGGCCAGCAAGCGCTCTGTGCCCACATGGTACAAGAAGGCTGCAAGAGGCAGATGACTGCAGGCCAACATCACTGGGAACCAGGCCAGGGTGTTCTCCTCTCCCTGGGTGCCAACATTGATCCCCATCCCATTCTGGAGCTCCTTGCAGTGCTCCCACCCAAATAACCCATGGGTGGTATGGATGCTCACCTGTACAGCCAGTGACATTCTTGGGGAGGGAGTGGTAGGGTCCAGCTACGGCCCAAATCCCAACAAGGTAGCAAGTTCCTGGTGCCAGCTGTGCCAGGGTGACATTGGTGCTGTCCTTCCCTGCTTCCAGGTTCCTTGCTGGTGCAGAAGAGCCCTCCTCATGCATGCTGAGCATGTATCCATCCCTCTGCCCAGGAGGGGTCTCCCAGTGCACAGCCAGAGCCCAGGCAGTGAAAGAGGAGGTAACGGGACTGCAGGAGAGAAACAGCATTTCAGGGGACAAACCTGGGATGCTCAGGACTGACTCTAGTTTGGGAATGAAGGTGGGAGCTGCAGGACTGTGAACATCTCACATGCTGTCTAAAGACTGCTGACAGCAGCAGGTTGCTCCCAGATCAAAGCTGCTCCCTGTGTCCCAGGTGATAACAGTGCATCACCACCATGGCCTGAGACCCCTCCTCCTTGTCCCAAAGTGCTGGGGTAGGCTCACAGCATACCCCATTGAGCTGCTGGGCTCAGGATGAGTGAGGGTCCCAACAAGAGAGCTAGCATCTTGAGTAGGAGACAGGCACCAGTGGTGTTGTGGGGACATAGTCTCAGAACCCTCCTGCAGAACAGCCCTGGAACCCCTCTCTTGGTCCCCAGCCCCTCCCCAGATGAGAGCCAGGCTGGGTACCAGGGATGGGGAGGGGTGCAGAGGAGCTGCGTTCCTACCAGTGTAGCCGACAGCAGTCTGAGAGGAGGTGCGATGTGGCCCAGCCTGAGAAATGATCTCCACACGGTATCGGGACCCTGGCACCAGCCCCTCCAGGTCAAGCTGTGTGACTCCACGGGGCACGGACACATTCCTGATGATGGACAGGGACTCAGCCACTGAGAGCTGTACCAAGTGGTCTCTGCCACCACCTGACTCCACCCAGCTCACACGTAGCTCCTGGGGTCTCTGGCCAGGCTGTACACTCACATTAGCCAGAGACAGTGGATCTAGGGGCAAACAAAGCATGGAAGTCCATGAGATCATGGAAGAAAGCAGCTGGAGAAGCCAGGACACTGCCTGCACCTCTGCACAGGGCTAAAAGAGAAGTGGTGGCAGCTGACTGCCAGCTGTTCTGTTGTGCTGGGGGACATGCAAGTTGCCCATGCATGTCCCCAGGTTGCTGCTAGCAGGCAAGTGCTGTAACCAAGAAGAGAGCACTCAGCTCCCCAGTGGGCTGCTCTGCTCTATGGACACAGAGCAGCAAGTCCAGACAGGTCTCTGTGCTTCCCCTCTTACATCCCTCTCCCACGAGCTCCAGGCTGGCCTTGAGAGCACGAGTGGTCTAGGCAGAAGGTTCAACTTGACTGGAGAAAGCCTGAGCTGGGGCGAAGGGTCTTTTGGGGCCCAGAAGCCGGCACATAGCACCTAACTCATGACACGTACTCCGATTCCCAGGGGAAGGGAGTGTGCAGGTCTCACCGGAGCCCTCCCTCTGCCTGGCCATGTCCATGTCACTGCCAGTCTTGCAGGCAGTGCCAGGACGTCCCATCCCTGCAGGAGGCTGGGGACACTTCTCACTCACATGTCCACTCGGTGGCAAAGTGTGACGAGGATCTGTATGGGCCAGCGAGGACAGTCACCTTCAGGAAGTACTGAATGCCAGGGGACAGCCCCAGGAACGTGAAGTTGTGGGTGTTTGGCCCCACTGAGATGTTCCTCTGTGCTGCATGGCTCTTGCTGTAGAGCTGAAGGTGGAACTGGTCCACATCACCAGCAGCCTTGTCCCAGAAGGCAGAGAGTCCCAGTGGGCGTCGGGTGTTGGTCAGGGTCACGCCAGCCGGAGGCAGGGGGTCTGAGAGAGAAGAGACATCCAGGCAGTGAGAGGCAGTCATGGTGGAGGTGCCACGGTGTGGAGTGGGGGCCTGCACACACTTGTCCTGGGCAAGCCCTGGTGGGCTTAGGTCAGAAATCAGCCCTGTTATATCAAACCCCAGAACAGCCTGAGCTTCTGCCCCACAGCAAACATGGGAGCAGGTCCCCACCTTTCCTGCTGGGTGACATTTGGAAACGTTTTCTGCTCAGTGATGGATTTCTCCTGCACTGAAGACCCTTTTACTCCAACCTGGCTGAATGTGGCTCTGGTGTCCTTCCACTCTTTGTCTGTCTATGCATCCCTGTCCCTGGTTCCCCCCGCTCCCCGTACATGGTCTACACTCTGCCTTGCTTCCATGCGTGAGCTTTCTGCTCTCGTTGGACAGGTCATGGTTGCAATTTGCAGTAGGGGTGAGGTAGGAGTAACACACTCACATGTCCAGTCTGTGGCTGATTGCACAGGGGATCTGTAAGGTCCAGCCATAGCAGCCATTTCCAGTGTATACTGTCGCCCAGGGACCAGGTCCTCAAAGGTGACATTTGTCCAGTTGTTCCCCACAGTCATGTTCCTGACCCACTCCTGGGACTTGGTTTCCCAGAGGGTGCCTGTGTAGCCGGTGCTGCCAGCGGGAGCTGCTCTCCAGGAGGCTTGCAGAGAGGTGCTGTGGCCCTGATTGCTGAGGGTCAGCTGCTCCAGGGGCAACGGATCTAGGAAAGGCAAGGTCTAGAGTCACAGCTGCACCTGGACTGTGGTCACCTGGCAGAAGTGCAACCCCAAATGTGCTGGGGATGGAGCCCCTTCCCTGGGAAAACCCACATCCAGGTGCTCTGGCCATCCGCAGGGTCTGAGCAGGCCACCATCACCCCTGCTGACACCCACACACAGGTTTGGCAGGGACTGGGCCAGCACAGAGTTCAAACTGGCATGGTAAGAGAGGACTGGTCTGGTGCTGGAGGAGGTGGTGGGTGGGATAGTCTGAACCAGGGTGGTGGAGAGGTGGTTCAGGGCAAATGCAGCCTGAGCATTTGTGCCTTCCCCAGTGCCCGGCAGATGAGGAGGGCACTGGGAAACACTGACCCTTGTGCTGGGCAATTGGCGTACAGACCAGGGTCAGGCACATCCAGCAGCACCTCTGCTTTCCTCCTGAGCCTTTTGCCCTTTTATTGCATGAAGCTGCGGAAGACCTGTGCTACCAGTTCCCTGTGGGAACCCCAGGGCTGGCTGCGGTGAGGGCTGTGGCACTCACATGTCCAGTTGGTGATGTGCTGGGGTGTGGATGTGTAGGGGCCAGCCATGGTGCTGACCTCAAAGGTGTAGAGGGTCCCAGGGCGGAGGCCCTCGTAGGTGAAGTTGGTGGCACCTCTGAGCAGTGAGCTGTTCTTCACAGGGTGCTCCACGGGACTGAAGGCCAGCACATAGCCCTCTCCCATTGCCTCCTCCCAGCTGGCTAGCAGGCTGTAGGGGCTCCCCTGGCTGGACAGACTCACACCAGATGGTGCTAGCGGCTCTGCAAGGGACAAGGATGGGATCATGCACGTCACTGTGTGGGGCAGTGCATCTGTGAGACTGCTCTCACAACACTCTGCAGTGGTTCCCCCACCCAACTCAGGCAGCCAGGGCTGCAGTGAGAGCCTTTTACTTCTCTCAGGGCCAGGGGCTGAGTGAGTGCCTCCCCACACTGTTTAAGGCTCCAGTCCTTCCTTCCCAGGGTAGCAGCTCTGGGACAGCACCAACTGTGGCTCCATGAATTGCCCAGAGGGACTGGGCACAGGGGGATGCTGCTCTGGGGGGCCTGGTGGTGCTTCACTACCCACCAAACCAGCTGCTGTGAGCAGAGCGAGGGGAAAATGTCTTGAAGCCTGCCAAACACTGAGTCCAAAGGTTACTGAGTAGGAGCTGGTCTTGATTCATGCCTGATACTACCTGGCATGAGTCTGTCACTGACCTCTGAGTCCACCCTCACAAGGAACTGTGGGGCAGTAGGTTTTGCCGCTCTGACCCACAGCCTGCTCTTGAGACCAGGTGCCACTGCACTGCACTGCACAGCACCATCTCTGCCCCTGCCGCAATCCCCCTCCCCATCCCACCAGCCTCCCTCCAGGCATCAGCCTCTCCATCAGGTGGTAGAAATGGCCCTGAAAGGACACGCTCAGGCTTTCTGCTTACGTGTCCAGGCTGCTGTGCTGTGGGCTGATGCCTGGTAAGGCCCAGCCACCGCCGTCACCTGGACAAAGTATTGCTTCCCGGGGCTCAGCCCATGGAAGGTGACATGACTGTTGTCTCCACCGACGGAGATGTTCCTCGTCAGAGCACCATCCTCTCCCTCCTGCAGCGTCACCAGGTAGAAGTCCCTCTCTCCTGCTGGGGTGCTCCAGCAAGCCTGCAAGGAGCTCTGCTCCTCTGCGCTGCTCAGGGTCACATTGTCAGGGTTCAGTGGGTCTGGAAGGGAAGGAAACAGGATTGTGTGCGTTAGGATTATGGCATGCTCTGGACCCCATAAACCCCTGAGCCTTGTTCCTTGCTTCCTTATCTGCAGGGTTACATCCAGCCTTAGACATCCTCTTGGACTGTGCTGTCTCCATTCCCCAGCGCAACCATTCCCTAGTCTAGCAGAGCCTTGACGAAGCTGGCAGCCCTGCTGGGAAATTCCTAAAAATCTCCCTCCTCTCCAGTTGTGTCCCATCATGAGCTTGCTGATATTCCCAGGAGCTGGCCTGGACCGAACTCCTGGCTGGATGCCCCTGGCTCATGCATCTGGCACTGGGGACATTTGTTCAGTCGGGTAGGTCAGAGCCGCAGACTGGCAACGGCAGGGATTAAGTCAGACTCACTCCATAGCAGAAACAAACCAGCTGGGGGTGTGGAGGTCTTCCAAAATCCCAGCTGCGGAGTCAGCAGTGAGCAGACTCCAGCTTCCTGGACTGGCAGGCGGAGCAGGAAAGAGCTGGAGACTTGTCACCTGGTGGCAACCAGGTCCTTCCAGCATACGTCCGACCATTGGGAGCCGCTGGCCACAACAGCCCTGTTTGCAGCTTGGCACCTCCATAATTTGTTGCTCCTCACTAGAGAGGGCCAACGCTTTCTTGGCATTCGGCATGAGTCTTGCTCTGTCCAGGAGGCGAGGTTTGCCCTCTCCTTTTTCCCCCTGGTTTTCCTGGGAACATCCGGGAGAGCAAGTCCAGAGCCAGAACAGTTCACAGTGCTACAGACACAGTGCTGGCAGCAAACCAGGGCTGTAGTGGTGGAAGTCACCTGCTCTTGGGGCTCTTGTCAGCCTGAGGCCAGAAGGTGGAGGAAGTTGGGTTGAATGGTGCAACTAGCTGGTGTCTGGGTGGGTTACTCTCAATTTCTTGACCTGCTGGAGGCTGGCTTCCTTGGCTGTGTTTATACCAGCACCCGGCACATTAGGGACATCCACCAGGATGAGGTTATCAGGTGCTACCAATATATACCCTTGACAGCAATCAAAGGGGAACAAAGATCCATTTCCCTCCAGGAACCTCCAGTTCAAATGGCTGTCCTCTTCCCCTCTGTTTTCTCTACTGCCCTTGGACAGCCCTGAGGCGTGAGAGCCCGGCCCCAGCTGCACTGCACACCAGTACGATCTGCCTGCCCTTCCATCCTCCTCCTCAGGGAGAGGCCAGTGCATCCCAGGGAGAAGCAGGCCAGCACTGGGAATTCACTGGGTGGGGGCTCACTGGCCCCACAATTGCAGTGTCCCAGAGGTGGGTCCTGGAGCAGCTTTTGGCCAGGTCCAAGCAGAATTTCCCTCTGCACCTGGGGATCTGGCAGAAGACCTTTGGATTCAGAGGCTGGACCAGAGGCAGGTAGAAAGAGCCAGGGCCACCGAGGTCCTCCTCCATCCCTGGCCATCATACTCACATGTCCAAGCAGTGGCATTGGGCCCCCCCACAGTGTAGGGTCCTGCTGTGGCGCTCAGCCCCAGCCAGTACTGGGTGCCGGGTTGGAGATGCTGGAAGGTGTAGCTGGTGAGGCCCCTCCTGGCTGACAGGGTCGTGGTCACGGCCTGGGTGAGGAGGTTGTGAAGCGCAAGGTGCAGCCAGGCGGCCCCCCCAGCGCCCACCCAGGAAGCGACGAGGCTGGTGCTGGAGCCCGGGCTGAGCCTCAGCTGGGTGGGGATGGAGGGAGCTGAGTGGAAAAGCAGGAGGCAGTGAGGTTCAGCACTGGGGCTGGGGCTCCCTGGACCCTTCTCCCTCCCCAGGGTCTCCTATGCACACAGCTGCTCTCTATGCTGGCACGGGGGCTGAAGGTCTGGCAGGGGTCTGCTGAGGGATGTCTCTCCCGTGTCTCCCAGGCAAGCTGAGGGGCTTTTGAGGTCCCTCCATACTGTCATGCTCTTTCAGGCTGCAGGGCAGAGGAGGGGGCAGCCCGGGTAATGCAATGTTTCTGCATCTCCCACCAGCCAGGCCTTTTGCCAGGGTCCCCAGATTGCCCTTCTCCCATGAGGACATGCAGCACACAAACCCAAGCTGTGGGTTCTGCAAGGCAGGACTGAGGTGCGAGGTTGTCCCCTTGGCCAAGCACACTGGGCTCACAGTGGGGATGTGAACAACTCCCAGCTGTTCCCCATCCTACACAAACTCCCCATCCCGTGCCTGGAGACCTCCTCCCCCTCTCTGCAAGCCCAGCCTGCAAGTGTGCTGCACCCCTCCTGCCAAACCCTTTCTCCCACCCCTTCCCTCTTGGGCAGGCACACCCATCTCTCCCTACCTGTCCATTGGTGGATACTGGTGCTTGCCTGGCTGGATCCAGCCAGCGTGCTGACCTTCAAGGCATACTCGCTGCCAGCCAGCAACCCGTCAAACAGGAACGTGGAGGCGTTTGGCAGGACTGACGCATTTCTCACAAGCGTCTGGGAGTCGCTGTGGTAGAGGGCAAGGTGGTAGCCATCTCGCTGCCCGTGGGCGTGCGCCCAGGAGGCATGCAGCACAGCAGAGCTCTCACCGCTGCTCAGGCTCAGGTTGTGGACGGGTGAAGGACCTGCATCAGACATGGCACAGATGGGGGTTGGCTGGTTGCCTTGTGATGCCTGACCTGCCAGGTTGCTCAAGGGCCAGTGGGACAATGCCTTCACCTGGTGAAGCCCTGCCAGCCAGCACCAATCTCCCAAGCACAGCCCCATCACCTCTCTCCCAGCCCCCCAGTCTCCTACAGGTTGTGTGGGCTTCACCATCCCCTTTGGATCAGTCTCTGCACAGTCACTCTGAACTGGGCAGGGAGACTCAGTCAGGGACAACACACCAGGTATGCACTGAGAAAGGTAAAGCCATCAGTGCTTACCTGTGCCAGGTCCTCTGTTCCTGCTGGCCCTGTGGGTCCTGCCACCTGCCTTCCTGTGAGCACCAGCCCCTGCTCCCCACAGCCACCACTGCTGTCTGACACCACCCCTTCTGCTGGCCAACCCCCTCCCTCCAGCTCTACTCTCCTTTTCTAGGTTTTCCACCTTCACTTGCACTGATTTACTCAAAGATCTTCTGGAGAGATGCAGGCAAGAGCTGTCATCCTCACCTGAGCTGTGAGCTCACCAGCCCTGCTGCCGTCTCCCAGTCCTTGGCATCAGTCAGGGAGGGGGCAGAGCAAGGCTTGGTGGGTGAGCCAGTGGTTGACAGAGATATGCCAAAATCATGGAGCCAGTGCTACTTCCTTGTAGTTCTTTCTAGACCTCCAGGCTTGACTTTTTCCACCCCTCAGCTCTCTGCAGTACACATCATAGGTTGGTCCATCATTAGCTATATTATTCTAGGAGAAGACATGAACCCGGCCCTTGCGAGGTGCAGGGGCAGAACCTTCATTCCACATGGATAAGGGAATGACCCCTGAGGCCCTGGGGACGATGGAAGAACCCTAATCCTTGTGGAAGTGAGAAAAGACCCGACCTCCCCATGGACTCACAGGGCTTCACACAGACCTGTACTTTGCACCCTCCAAAGCACTGTGACGATCATTGGTAGGACTCAGACCCTTTGACTCTGCAGTCCCTGGGGAACCCCTTACTTGTCTGTGCGGTGACTGTCTGGCTGGTGGTCTCCATGCAGGCAAGCGTGGCTGTCACCTCGATCTCGTAGTTCATGCCAGGGGTCAGCCCATGGAACCAGAAGCTGGTGATGTTGGGTCCAGCAGATCCATTCTGCAGCAGCGTGCCCGACCCCAGGAAGGAGAGGGTGAGCGAATATCCCTCGGCACCCCCCTCTGGCTCATCCCAGGACAGAAGAAGGGAATCCGACCGGCCATGGTCACTCACGCTGAGGTTCAGGAGGGTCCCTGCAGAGGCAAAGCCAAAACCCTCAAAAGGGAACTGTGGCACTGATGGGCGGCCAGCCGGCGGGGCCAGTCTCCCAGCCCACCAACCCTCACTGCACACCTTGGCCCAGGCTATCACCATGGGCACTGCCCTGCCACGATCAGACTCCCCCGACCCCAAAATCTCTGAACAGCCTTTGGAAAACACAAGAAGGTTCAGAAACCCCCTTGGACTGGGGTCAAAGGCACCACATGAAAGAGACGCTCCTAAGCATGGAGCATCTCTTCCATTGGAGAGAAGGCTTCAGGCCTTCACCTGCTTTGTCCAGACAGCTCTGGTTTATGGCAGAAAAGTTGCCCCGGCTGGATATAATCCATTGCTCACCACCTTCATTGGTTTGAGCCCCCCAAAAGATCTTGGAGGGCTCTGGGTCCACCTTGCAGAAGCAGGACAATGGACAGTGAGGGAGAAGGCTGGATATGGCAGTGGGGCCATTATGGTCTTTGCAATAGTCTGTCTCTGTGTGGGCTCTGACAGAAAAGAGGGAAAAGGCTGCTTTGGAGGCATCCAGGCACTGAGACCCCACTGTCCTACCCAGTACAGAGATGACATGGGAAGAGCAGGACACTGTGTATGTGGAGGAAATGTGGGGCCAGATTTGCACAACCCCCTGCTGCGGTGCGTCCCTGCCTTGGCCTTGCTGCAGCAGCAAGGTCAGCACGCGGCAGCTGCAGGGCCACTGCTGTGGCATCCAGATGGAGAGCATCTGGGGACAAGGAAGTGGCATATGGGGCTTTGGCTAATTGGTGTGTCAGTGGCCAAAACTGACATATTGAATCCCTGCCCTTAGAGTGGCTCAGGAACCACCTACAAAAACAGGAGGCAGACAGAGCCTGTCTGTTGGGACCAGGCTGGCAACGTGACCCTTGCAGGCTCCATCTCTGCCTCCCCAGGCCTCCACCAGCAGATCGTCATGCACTCCCTATTCCCAGCCTTGCTGTGAACCATGAGCTCTCTATTGCTTTCAGCCTTTGGGAAACACCAGCACAGCTCTAGTGCTAATAAGACATTTGTGTAATAATCAGCACTTAAAATTTATGATGTGCAACATGTTGTAACAGGCTTACATATGATCTGGCATGGCAAGAAAACTTTAAACAAGCACAGCTATTGCCCCAGAGGTCTGCCCGGGGGCTGCCTTTACACAGCAAAAGAGAAGCAGTGTAGGGTGAGCCCCAGGGGCAGGGGACTGCTCAGGTGTTGTCTGTGACCTTCCCACAAAGCTGGACAGTTTCGGAACTACATGCAATTTCTGTTTCATGCAATGCTGTTGTTTGGAGCCTGCTGCCACGCTGAGAGCTTCACTCAGCAGATGGGTGCAAAGGGAATTGGGAGGGTTAAATGGACACAAAAGAGGAGCACATAGTCCCCCTGGGAAAGGCCTTCTCAGTGCCATCCCCACGCAGTTCAAGTGCAGATCTAAATCTGCTCGGGAAGGATTATCTGAATGTAGTTGGATGTCCACAGGTCAGGTGTCTACACCTGGGCCAGCTGCCCTGGGCTCCCCTTGCTGTCAGCAGAGACCCAGTCGCAGCAGCTTGTGGAGCACAGGGTATGGTTTATCTCCTGAAGACAGCCAGAAGGACTGTGCCCTGCGCGGAGTTCAAGCAGGGATGGTCTTTCACTGTGGGCTCTTTCTTATCACATGAAGGTATGGGTTCTCCACCCATGCTTGTCTGCTTCTCCTCAGGTATCCAACAGACTGCATCGTCTGCCTCCATCTGTCACTTGGCAATCATTACCTTCACTTCTGCAGTACCAACGTACTAATACCTAAAACAGGCCAGAGGCATCCTCCAGCCCTGAGGCCCATGATCACAACACTGCTCACATTCCTATAGATAAGCTCCACTAACCACATCACAGCCAGCCACATCCAGGTACACCCCATGCCCTGACTGGTGCCTGCAGATCATCCGGGAGAGTTTTCACTGGCACAGGCCAGCTCCATGCGGGCACTGCACTGGCTCCAAGCACACAGCAGCGCTTCCTGGCTGCAGGGCGAGTGCGGCTGTGCTGCTCCCCAGCCAGCTCAGCACAGCCACGGGTCTGCCCCATGGAGCATGATCCTGCCCAGCCAGCTGCAGGGGTTCCATGCAGGGCACCTATGGCTGTGCTGCTGCTGAGCCCGCTTGATGCTCCATAGGAAGGAGGGAGCTTGGAGCCTTGTCCATCTCTCACGCTGCCCCCCATAAGGCCAGTTGCTGGAAAAGGATGGGGATGACCCCTCCCCTTCCCTGGCCATGATCTGCAGCCTGCAGTAAATCTAAAGCAGAGTATTTACAAAGCTACTCCAAGAGTCCTGGCCCAGCACATCTGCTCATCTCACAGCTCCCGGGCACCAAGACCGCCCTCCGCAGCCTGGGGGCCTCTTTGCTTTGACTTACCTCTATCACTGGGTGCATCCTGTCCCTCCAACCCTGCCCGTGCTGTCCGGTTGCATCCCTCGCCCTGGGGGATTGAAGGCGTCAAGGTGAGGTAGTCTGACCTGAGACAAACGCCTGGGAGAGGTGCCCTGTGCCAGGGGTCAGGCTGGCCAGGCACAGGTCCCACCCAGCCATGGCAAACCCTCTGGGGACTGTGGCCCCTCTTTGCAGGAAAGCCCAGGTCACTGCTCACATTGCCCTCCCCTATCCAAGGCAGGGAGACAGACTCAGCAGATGTAGCTTGGGGGCTGCCCTGGCTGTTTGCATGGGTGCTGGGACTGCAGACCAACGTGGGGCCATGTCCACAGGGGAAGACATCCCACCAGAACAGCCAGGGCAGACGGGGAAGATTTGGGGAGGGAGCTCTGGACAGGCCCTGGCAATCTCACTCCCTCTACAGGCACTACTCCCTTCCCATGATCATGGCGGGGGAGGATGGAGGGACCCCAGACCTCAGTCCAGCCGCCGTCCCCAACAGGCTGCAAAGCGAGGGCTTGGCCTGAGAGCTCCAGGGCATCCAGCACCCTCCACACTGCAGTGGGTGCTGAGCACACTTGTAGGACACCCGTCTCCCCACAGTCTGCTCGCGAGCAGGGTGTGCCCTGCTTAGGTTGAGGCTAGTTCCATCCACATTAAAGGAAATATCTCTGCCCACTCCCTGTCCCGCAACAAGCCACAGAAGACCAATCATCTTTCTTTAGTAATTTCCCCCTTGGCTCCTCTGGCTGACTCATTTCTGGCTCCCCCACCAATTGCAGTGCTTTTGGGAGTGCATACGCGGAGGGGAGTGAAGGGGCTCCGGACCCCTGGGAATAGCAACCAGCCAATTCCTGGGGTGAGGAGCCGTGCAGCCATGGCAGCAGTAACACACTCCAATCCCAAGCGCTGGGGCGAGAGGGCATGGCAACGGGGGGAGGAAAGCAGAGAAAAGAGCCATCTAGTAATTGCAAACGTCGCTAATTTGGTGCAGCTGCACGGCTGGAGAGGCAGCCCAAAAATATGCCGTCATTCCTCAGCGGGGTAGGACTATGCAAAGCCCCTTGCTGCCAGAGAGCTTGGAGCCAAGAGCCTGCATGGACAAACGGGGGGTTGAAGAGACAACGGCTTACCTCTGCCAGGGTTCCCAGGAGCCGCGGCACCCACAGGACAAGCAGCGGCAGCAGCGGTGGTCTCATTGGGACCAGGGTGGCTGCAGATTAGAGGGATGACAAGTTGGGGGGGGAGCTTCTTAGCAGTGGCTGTCCCCAGCCAGCCCTTTCTCCCAAGGCAGCAAGGGACTACGTCCCCACATGCTTTCCGAGCCCAGGTGACAGGATGACATCAGTGGGGACGGGCGTTGCATGCCAGCGCGTTGCACATCAGCCCTGCCAGCTGTCCTTGGGCAGGAGCAGAGCGCGCCTCCGGGCTGGGAGAAGTCCAGTGTGTGTGTTTGTGCCTCTCGCTGTGTGCATTTGCTATTGTTCCCGCGGATCTGGGTCCCTCTGCGGTGACTCTGCAGCTGTCCTTGTGTGAGCGAGTGTGTGCTGCGGCCAGAGAGCTGCTCGCCGGGGGGCTTGGAGGGGGGGCTCTCTCTGCGGCTGGGTCTCTGCACGGCTGGAGCCCGGTCTGGCCATCAGAAGGAGTTCTGCAGAGTTGTGGGAGCTGGTGCTGAGAGGGGAGGAGAGGGGAGGAGACAGGACAGATGGCGGCTCTGAGCTGGAAGGGAGTGCCCAAACCAGCCCCCAGCAAGGGGAGGGAGGGCGGACCGCAGCCTCCGGCAGCTGGGCTCGGAGCTGGAGGGAGCGCGGACCCGGGGTGCTGTGCACCCTGTGGCTGCCTCCGTGCCCGGCACGTTCGTGCACCCATTTGCTCTGTATGCGTGAATTTCTGCACGGGGTGCTGATGGGGGAATGGGAGGTTTGGTCATGCTGGGTGAGGAGGGAGACGTGTGCCTCTGTGTGACGCTCGTGGCACAGCGGCAGGCGGACTGGAGCTGGGGCGGGGGGGTGTACGCATTGTGAGAGGTTCCTGTGTGCTGCACCCGATGGGTGCAAAGGTACCTGGACCGCGCTTTGCCCATTTGAGGGGTTGGCTGGGTCCAAGCTGTGCCCTGTCTGCTCATGGGTTGCAGGAGCTGTACGCAGTGCTGCCATGGGGCGCACACTGTGCCCCCCCAGCCCTGTGCAGGGCCGTGCGTTGTGCAGTGCTGTGCTGTGTCTGTGCAATGCGTGGCAGGATGCCAGCTCTGATTCAGAGCGGAGATGCCATTGGCTTCACATCAGTGCTGGAGATCTGGGACAGTGCTGGAAGAGGTTCAGTGATGCATCTATCCTGGAAGCCAGCGCAGCCTGTGTGGCCATGGGAGTCTGTCCCAGTAGCCAGCACAGCCACCAACGGGGGCTATTCAAGCTCTGCTTATTGCTGTGAGCCACTGAGCTGTCAGGGTGGGACACATCCCCCAGCTGGCCCCAGAACAGCAGATTCCCTCCCCGAGAAGCTCAGAGGTTTTTCAGGTGGGACCTGTGAGAGACAGATCAGCCCCCCGTGCCTGGGCA